AACAGAAGTCATTCAGCTCAAAAGAGACAAAAGAGATCAGGGGAGAAAAACTGTTCAAGAAAGCAGGATATGCTGCTAGTAATGACAAAATTACAGAAAATAATAATATAGGAAGAAGGAATGAGAGAAAATACTTTAGCTACATGGTTATATCTGTGTTTGGGACAATTTTACCTTTAGAACAAAGACCACTAAACCAACAGAGAATAAGTTCAAGTGATGGGAAGTGAGCATTTTAGGAGTGGATACATAGAGCTAATCATCAGATCTTTCCCCCTTCAGTCCTGGACCTATGAATACTCCATATAGGCAGTACCACAAAGTAGATGCATACACAACTCCTCAATGGACATCTCTCTAGCCCAGAAAGTACTGACATCTATGTAATGCTATAACTGATTCTCCAAAAGGCCAAGCCACCTAACTCATGGATGGTGAAAAGTATGCTAAGGCCTATAATTTCCACTGTGGGCCCATCAACACATTTTATTTGCTATAAATAAGCTGCTTAACAAGAAGGAATTATGGATAATTCAAGTGTTAGTGGTTTTGGCAGCAGCTTCATTTGTCTATAAAGAAATCTACACCCAGTATGAAGGTCTCAGACAATAACAACAAGGCTCTGGGCCTTTCATGATGGAACTGGCCCAATGTGATCAACATTAATGATCTAATCCTTTGACTCTATCTTCCAAAATTTCTCCTAAGATAGAAATTTCATCTGACAGATAACACATTTGTCAATAATAACTGTTTAGGAGCTGAAGAGATGGTGTGTCATTTGGTGTGAAGAGATGGAAAGTCATTTTCTGATTTGGCAGACAGTCTGGATTCTGTTCCCACCATGCATATGAAAGTTCACACCCACCTACAGCACATGTCTTGGGTGATCTGACTCCCTTTTTTGGCTTCCACAGGCACCAGGAACTTGTATGCTTGCATATATACATGCAGACATACAAAATACAGATAACAAATAAATAAAACAAAGTAACTGTGTGGTGAGCATTGGCATGAAATTTGAGAAGTTTCCTGTTAGAGCCTGGTGGAGTAGAGGTAAAGATAACTGGGCCTTTGTTGCTGAATCAGAGGTTATCCTTCCTCTCTGTCTCAATATGTCTTAAAATCTTTGTCTACCCAGCCACACACTGGTTGACGAGTATTGGTTTACCTGATACATGATGTGTAGTTGGAGTAAGGGAGTGGAAATTGAAGGAATTCTTTTTTCTTAATCATTAACCCTACCAACTTCTCCTGAGAAGCTGCTCTGTCAGAAGAAAAAATATTAACATTTAACTTGCAGCCACCTGCTGCCTCAAGACAACAGTAGGGTGCACCAGGCTTTGCACAAAATGCTTGAAACAGCGGGCTTTCTCTAAAAGGTTATGAAGGTCACTAAACTTTGTCCCAAACTCTCCTTCTGGGGACAATGACACCAGCCCTTTGTGAGGATTTCCACCTCCTCTGGAGTGTGAAGTATATTTTTCTTGAAGGTAGCGTTGGTTAAACTGCTGACAGGAGATTCTGGATGCAGACAAAGAATGTTAGCATGAATGGAACCAATCTGTAAGTTAATACGAGCATATTTTTGTGTTTCTACAGCAGACTGCATAATTGTGGTTGTTGTTGTTGAGACAGTCTTGGAGAACTGAGAATGACATAAAACTCGGAAGATAGCTGAGGTTTGAAGTGATTCTCCTAACTCTATCTACTGACTCTTGAGTGTAGTGGTAATGTTGGCTTTCTGCTTTGCTCCCAGGATGTAGTGCTACCATACACCTCCCAATCACTCATTGGATTCATGAATGAAACACACACACACACACACAGAGGTCAGTTAATTTTTGACATGCGACAACTAGCTCAAAAGTTGGGCACTCCAAAACCTCCCCCTACTAGCAAATGCTCCCTCTGGTACTCCTGAGGCTTGTAAACTTTCCCCTGCTACTCTAAGCACAATCGAGGAAGTGGCCAGTGGCCAGTTACCAGAATTCTTACATGTCAGGTTGACTTTCTCACCTACACCTCCTTCTCCCTGAGTAAAGGCGATTCCCTGCCTCCTTCCTCTCTCCCAGTTCCTAAACAAAGCAAATCCAAAGGACCATCCTCATTCTACCTGTCCAGTCATTTGCCATTGGCCCTTTATTGATCAATCAAAAGTCAATTGGGGACAAGTTCCATTAGTTTATAGAGATATAGATTCCCAGTTTTGAGGGCCAAATTGATTCAAAGTATTAGAACAGATCCCCAACACTTGGGATTACTGGATGAACCCAGGACATCATACATGCTGAGCAAGCAGTATCCTCACCAATGGCTGAAAAAAGTTTGAGAGAGAAAAGGAAAGTACTCTCTGTGATTGTGTTTTCCCTGAAGTATCTGTTTGACATCAGCCTCTGAGAAACCATCACTCTAGTGGAATATGCAGCTTTGCAAGAGACAGAAGAGCTAAGTGTGTGGGGTAAGCCCATCAGCAAATCAAGATGTTGAATCTCTGGGCAGCCTTTCTTTAAAAAGACAAATGCTTGTCTTAAGGTGGTTGTAATGACAAGTCAACTCCAAATGTACCTTCTGAAGTAATAGCAGTTTCCTGGCTTTAAGAGTAACATTTGCTTGTGCAGCTGAATTTATGAATTCAGCAGGGGGAACTAAAGAGAACAAAAATTTCTAAAGTGCCTCCATGAGGTCACCTTAACAGCATGAAACCTGAAACAGCAGGACTGATTTATTTTCTTACTGTGTGCTTGGACAACCACAAGGTGGCGCACAGTGTCCAATAAGTTGCTTCGCATCTACTTGCAAAACAAGTTTAAAGAACCTGGGGCCAGCCATGCAAGAGGCTTTGGTTTTGTTTGTTTGACACCTCCATCTCCTACCAGACTCAAGGAGAACTTCAGCTTCTACATAAATACATTCTCTTTACTAAAGTACCCTAAATCCAGACAAGACAGAAAAAAACACTCAAGTTTAACATATCTATCTTTTAAAAATACTTACACAAAAGTATTACACTGATCATCATGTACTCAAAAGACTCCAAAAACTAGTATACACATGCTCATCCATGCTTACTGCTGCTGTATTCACAATAGAAAGTAAATTAATTCATCTTATCTATATGTAACAACAATTAAACAATTAATTTTAAAAAGAGACCATGGAATTGAAAAAAAAAGGAGTATATGGAAAGATTTGAATAAAGGAAGCTGAAGAAGTAAATGATATGATTATGATATAATCTCAAGCAATAAAGAGAGAGAAAAAAATGTGTGGAACTGTGGAGAGATAGAAGTGGTAGAGGGTACACATACAAACACACACACACACACACTGGTTAAACAAAATTCTTTAATTTTTTTTTCTTATTGACCTTTCCTCACTATAAAAACAGACACTTGAATTCTACTTATTTTTTGAGATTTTGGAGGTCATTACTACTGCAGTTCCATTGCACTGAATTACAGTATTTCTTATTAGTTAAGGACTAGTGGAGAGTCCCATCTCTCAGCCTTGGTTTTACCATTTCTTACTAAAATTATGTCCTGGTGGAGAGCATAAGCAATTTCTCTATCCTCACTTCAGGTCCCAAAGACAAACCCAGTGCTTGATCCTCACTTTGGAGAACCAGTGAGTTTATTGAGTTGCTTCACAAATCAGAGGTGATGGGTTCCTTACATCACCTATTATCACTGATTACAGTCACTCTTTCCTCACCCAACCTCATCTAAAAAGCTTCATCCAGCAGAGCTGAGGAATACTCACTGTTGCATAGAGCCCATGTTCTGGTTCTTTCAGGCCTCTGTATATTCTAGCCTGTTCCCCAGGCTATGTGAAAAGGCACCACACAGTAGGGGAGGCTGGATACTCAAATTAAAACTATGTACCTTAATCTGCCCTTCTATGAGGGGTATGAACCACCCAAAAACCGAGCTGGATGCTTCTATGAAAAATGAAGATGCTAAACATCTTCAAGATAGTCTCAGAGGACCATCACTAGTGCCAAGGGTCTAAGTGATGTACATTGTGTCTAGATAAATCAAAGACCAGAAGACATGGTCAAATATTTTCTACTACCTCTTTTTTCTTTGTTTCTTCATCTTTTCTGTTATAGTTTTGTGTATTTTTAAATTTTAAAATTATGTACTTGTGTACATTAATTGCTTGTTTCCAGTTCAAACGCTTACCTCACTTTCTCACTCAATCTCACTCCTCTTAATCTCCTTTGTCTCCCTACACCCGCTTACTTAAATACATACACACACAAACAGAAACACACACAGACACAAATGCACACAGACACACATACATATCCACACACATACACAAGTATGATTCTGTTTTTCTATATATAATTAAAGAATGTCAATGGAAAGATAGCATATAATAGATGTGCCTCATTTAATTAATTTAGTGTTACTATCTCCAGTTACATCTGTTTCCCTGAAAACCACAACACTTTAATTTAGAGACTAGTCTTGAATTAATCTCTCCTGCTTCTGCCTGCCAAATGCTAAGTTTATAGGGATGCCCACCAAAAACTTACCTGTTAATGAAAAGGATTTTAATGCTTTATTTTATATATAGTTATTTGTTTGTAATAGGACAGTATATACATATGAGTATAAATGCTTCCTGAGGCCAGAGCCATTGAATCCTCTAGAGATGGAATTACTAGCAATTGTAATTTGAATGCTCTGAGTTATTGCAACTAAACCCAGGTACTTTACTAAAGCAGAAATCTTTATAAACCATTGAACTATCTCCCTGGCCCCTGAAACAGAATAATTTTAATATATACTGTCTTATCTAATTCATGCAAATATGCATTACTCTTTTTGAATCTTGTACTATATTGTTAACTTAGTTTTACCTCAGACTATATAGATTTAGTTTTTAAAAGCACCCAAAAGAACAACAATAATAACTTTGACTTTTATTTCATTTCCTAAATTCAGGAGACACAGAAGTACCTTTCCTGATTAGCAATGCTCTAGGGCACAACATAAGGTAAGACAAAAGTGGAATGGAACTGAGGTGGGACAAAAAGTATCCCCTATACCAATCTTCATATTGCCTTCATCTCAATGTCTTCAGAAAGCGAAGCAGAACTGGTGGCTCTATCACTGGTCTGACCAGAGTCCTCACTCAGGGCTCTCTCAAGAATAGAAGGCAGGGAATGAATCAGTGTCTCTCGGAAGTCCTGGCCCATGAAAACATAGAGTATTGGATTGAGGCAACTATTGAAGTAGGCCAATGAGCTGGTTGGGTGAAACAACATGTCAAGAATTGTGTAGCCATCACTAAACAATCTTTCTTTCAACCAGATTGTGCCTAAAAGGGCCACAAGTTGAAAAGGAAACCAACAGGTAAAGAAGGAAGCCACAACTGTTTTAAGCACTCGTAATGCACGGCTGGAATTAATAAGGGATCTTCTGTGGATCTTGACAGCGATGAGTCCATAACAGATGGCAATGATAGACATGGGCATGCTGAAGCCAATAACAAATGTGATGATCCCTGTAGCTGTTAAAAAAGTGATAGCTATGTTCAACATTTCTTCATCAGTGTAAGCCCAGGATGCAAAGTTGAATGCACAGTACACATCTCCTCTAGGATCTCTAACTGTAGTCAAGAAGAGGGAAGGGGGAAAGGAGAGAATCAGAGCAAAAATCCAGGGCCCAACAACCACCCTCCTAGCCAGGCTCACAGTGCGGTGATTCTGAGCCCAGACTGGACGCAGGACACAAATACAGCGGTCCAAGGCAATGGCAGTAATTAGGAAGATACTTCCAAATAGGTTTATGTTTACCACAATGTGAACAAATTTACACAGGAACCAGCCAAAAGGCCATTTTTGTTTCATAGCCATTGAGGCAAGGAGGAATGGTAGAGTTGCTGTGAAACAGAAGTCAGCCAAAGCTAGATTCAGGTAAAATACAGTAGTGACCGTTTTTGCCATCCGGAATCCAGTGACCCAGATCACTAGTCCGTTGCCCAGCACACCAAGAAAAACAGTGACGGAGACAACCACCATCGAGAGGATCCACAGAACTCTGGAGATGGGAGAATCATAGACGATCACTTCTGAGCCATTCAGAAGGTCAGAGTAGTTGGTTTCCATTTTGTCTGAACCTGAAATTTTTCAGAAACAAACATTTCTCATATATGTGACTCCATCTTACATGACACTTATTTAGACTGTACATCACCTGCCACTATAGGAGAGCCATTTACCCAGTAGTATTTCAAAATTAGCACGTACTGCATGTTTTTGGGGGTAGTATAGTTCTCTACATTCATCACATTCTTAAAATTATTCTTGGGTTTAGACTAATTATAAAAAATAATGATAAGCCCACATGTCTCAGCACTGATACTGAACTAATGGTGAAAGAGCAAAATATGAGTAAAAGGTGTTTAGTGCAACTTGAAGGAAATCAATAGACGTAGTAGACTATCCTTCAGTGAAGACTTTTTATCAGTTCTCATGTTCACAAGAAAAATAATTCTGTGGAAAGATGTCAAGACTTAATCAAAAAGTTTTTTTTTAGCAAAGTAATGAACTGTACATTCTGGAGAAAGAGTAAAAGGCACAGAGGGAAAGACAAACAGATGCACAGACTCAGACAGACAGACAGACAGACAGACAGACAGACAAAGAGATATTCAGCAGGATGACCTAAAGAATGAATAGCAGTCCATTGAACTCAGCACTATAGATTTCAAAGATATTTTTGTGAAGATTTATGAAGCGAGTCATGAACATATGGAAATGCAGTGACCCTTTATGGTTTGAACTTGTGGTAGACCAAATGCTGTTTTTGAGTATTGATCTTCTTGAAATTTTACCCAGAAAGAGGTTAAAACCACCACAGTTCAAAGCATAGCATAACAAAACTAAGAGCACATTCAGACCTTTTGATAATGTATTAGTGTGGTTTTTTGTTATGCTTCTTGGTGTCTTGCTTTCATATACAGTAGAAAGACCAGAACTGCAAGCATAAAGAATGTTTAAACAAGAAAGAACATTCTAGACTCAGCTGGATATACTAACAGGTAGGTACCATCTCTATATTCAATCCAGTAACTGACTGAGGTGAAGTTTCTCACACTTTGGTATACAAAGAGTATGCATTACTGCACAGTTTACTGTTATGTGGGTTAGTGGAAAATTACTAACAAATTTTAGTGGAGTTTGTGAACTTCCCCTGAAAGACCATGCATTCTGTATTTAATGTGCTTGGAATTTTGACTGAAACAAAGTGATCATCGAGGGAACCTGTAGATCATACACGTCAAGACCAGTAGATCATAGTAACGAAAATGAGGCAAGAAATAAGTCAGCAGGAACAGATGAAAAAGGCTTTAAAGACTTGAGGAGTAAATTGCAGGCTGCTCTGAGTCAAGAGAGGCAAACAGATAAATATATAAATAGAAGGTTGCTCTAGGCTGAGAGCTCAACAGAAAGATAGTGTTGGTCAGTTATATTGGATTGATTTAACCTTTAAAATGGGTGTGATCCTGAGTTGTGTAGTTATATTTTTCCTCTGAATAAAAAGTCAATGTAAAGGCTTTTCTGGTTTTTAGCTCGAGGATAGGCAAATTTGGGGAAAAAGGTTTTTCTATGTGTTTTCTGAAGAGGTCATTAAGGTAGTAGTTATATCTTCCAGAATTATATGGATCAGACATGACAGAGGTAGGCCTCCAGAAGACTAGATTCCAGAGAATCAAACAAAATAATTATCTTGATACCAAAATTTGTTTTGAGATTTGTATTTTACAGAATATACAGCCTTGTTGAATGAATATTCTTGTCACGTGCATGTCTACTGATGTCCTGGGCTTCCAGCTGGATGCAGTTAAGACAGACATCAGAGGCTTATCAATTTACCCTTCCTCTCATCCCTCTTCTAATATCTCAATGTCCATATTCAGCTTGAAGATGTTAATGAAGAATCGGTGCCCCAATTCCCTGGACTTGGGGACTGAGATGGTTAATATTAGGCTGTCTTTCTAGGGAAAAGTAATGGTTTTATTGGAACAGGGAGGAAGAGCTAAAATTGATTACACAGCCATAATCTATTGGTAGAAATCTGTATAATTGTTACTAAGCTGATGCAAATTCAAGGGTTTCAGTGATATATTTCTTATATTCAAAATTTGTGGGTACAAGGCTTAGACCTTTAACTTCTCCAACAGAGGGAGTTGTGTGCTACCCTTTAAAAAGAGTGTTGCTTTTGCACCAACTATTTAGACATTGCTAAGTTTCTTGTCTCTTGGGTTCATGCTATTCAACAGACTGATGGCTTTTATATGACAACAGATAGACGCTATTCAAATGAAATCCATGCAGGTCCGTTATTACAGGCTAGAAGTAGGGGACTCTGAAACCTTTGTCACCAAGACTGATGAGGATTAACCCCTAACTTACACACTAAGCAGGATAGTCAATGACAGGTAAGAGAACACCTCAAGACCCTTGCCCCTAACTGGGAGGCCTCATCATCCTAAGACAGGAGCTCAACCAATGGCTGTTGAGTATCCAAAGATAAGAAAGGGAGGCTGGGGTCCTTTGTTCCAGCCTAAGGCAGGCAGGGTTTCCGTAAGTTTTCCCAGCCTTTCCTTTTCAAAAAATTTAAAAGGGGGGACCTGTTGGGAGCCGACTCCTAGCAGAAAGTGGCTATCATCTTTGCAGCCATCTCAGGCCATATACCCTGACAAGAGACTTGTTTCAACAGCCTACAACAGCTGAGCACACTCTGATAAACATCTTGTTTTTCTAACATATCTTGTTTTGTTGTTTAATGCCCCCAGATGCAAGGCACACATGGTGTCCGTGCTTCAAGGCATGTGGCAAAGTGCCTTCATCTGTGTTCCCCTGCTTGTCCACGGTGGCAAGGTACGTGGTAAAGGGTATAAATACCCAGGATTTCCTTTCAATAAAAGAGACTTGATCAGACTCTCTGTCTTGTCTCCATTGTTCATGTCTCTTGCCCCTCTATCCCCACTCTCGATCTTGCTAGACCTTGACCCGAGTGGAACAGCAGAACGGGCAGGTACAATTGCTCATTTTTATAAGACTAGAATGAGGATAAGAAGAAATATAATCCTGAAAGCTATGTAATGTGACAAATTTTAATCTAGATGTATCTGAATCTTCCTACCATACCACATGTGACAAATGTTGCTGAATGTGCCCTATACCCTCCACATCAGAAGCTGATCACTTTTTCTCTGCTAAACAAATCACAGTTATGTTCATGGAAGTTGTCTCTCCATCCACTTTTGAATGTAAATCCTGAACAGGCTAGAGAGTATCTTGAATCCTCACTGCTTCCTAAAGTAGCACTAGCGTCATCCACACAGGGTCAATTCTGGCTGATACCACAATGGGGAGAAGTCCTCAGGGAGCTTCTTGGTTGCTTTTCTAACTCTGAACAACAAAAATCTTGAAATATAGTCAAGTTCAGGAAACTTGAAATATTTTTTATTCTGTAGTATGTGCCCTACAAAATCTGTATACATACTATCTTTTCAAATTTATTTATTGGCCTGAGGTTGTTTTATCAGTAATAGAGTGCTTTTCTAGAATCTCCTGTGAAGGAATGGGACATGGCTTAAAGGAAAAACACCTACTTGCATATGGACGCCACTGAGGACATGGGACATGGGCTTAATGGTTGCACATGTATGTTGTATGCAAGCAACTTAATGCTCAATTTCCTGCAATATAATAAAATAAAAGTGCAGAAAGACACTATACCAATTATTACTTAATCTTGCCTTAAAATGTACTTGCATAAAGTATAGAGTAATTTTGTAACACCATAAAAGTTTTAGACTTATCAATCGATCTTTAGAAAGGAACAGTAATACTGACCACTTCTTTGGTTGATTGGTTGATTGTTTGATGTGTGGTTGAGAAAGGGTCTAGCTATATAACTCAGCTGACCTTATCCTCCTAACCTTCTGCTTTACCTTTCAGAAAGATGAAATTACAAAGACATGCTAGAAGGCATCAGTTCACAAAGTTACACTTAATTATTATGTCTCTGGGGTGAATAGACATGTGTCATGTGTCCCCAGGAAAAGTCACACAGCACATGCCATAAGCTGCTCACCTTTAATTCTCATGGAAATATTGAGAAACAGCAACATCACTGTTTTATCAAGCCAAACCCATACTCAAAGATTTTGGCAAGTTTTTTTTGTTTTTGTTTTTGTTTTTGTTTTTGGTGGGTTTTTTTTTTTGTCAATAGTGACAATGATTGGAACCCTAGTTTCACTAATTCCAGAGCTTCCAAATTTGTGTCACTAATGTGGCTCATTTGACATGAACCTGCCTCATTAGCTGACTACCCAAATGATATAGTCATATAGTGATGCGATGGTGATTTTTCTCCTTTGTTTCTCATAGCAGTTTCTTCTTTCTTTTTCTCACCCATTTTTTCACCAAGATCCTAACCAGGACATTGTGTAATAATATTCAGGATTTCTCTACCCTAGCACTGTTGATATCTGTCAGTACTTAATTGTAGTTGGTTGTGGTAGAGTCCTGTACACCATAGGATGCTTAGCAGTGCTTTGACCTCACATAGTAGATTCTAGGAACAATTCTTGTCCACCTATGATAACCAAAATATCTAGAGATGACAAATATCCTCTGTCATTCGTAATGACCCACAGCTGATAGCCACTTCTATAGTATAAAATCCTGGGCTCTACAATCAAATTAAAATTATCCCCATGGTTACACCTGTGCACGCCCATGTTTCTGCTCTTGTACATGTGTATGTCACGAGCCAGTGTCTGTTGTTTCAATTGACCATCCACCTTATTTGCTGACATATGAGACATATGGTCTCTTACTGAAGCTGAGGCAAGATATGAATCTGAAGATCTGGCAATTTGTTGGCTAGTGACTCCAGTATAATGTGAATTTAGGTTTCTTTTAATCCTAGGTGTGTGATATGTGGCTACTTCAGATTGTCCACAGCCATCAACTATAATTGTCTCAAGTCCTAGAATAGGCTCCCTTTGACAGCTTCTCAAACTATAAAATTTCCTCTACCATTCTCAGAGTTCTTAAAAAAATGGTGACAATTTCTGGGGTACTTTTTACTGAAACAGCTGCCTTCACTCAAAGCTGCTACATGTACCATATTCAGAGGCTTGTGATATACACATTTACAAGAGCAGAAACATGGGTGTGCACAGGTGCAACCATGTGGATCACACACACACAAAATAAAAAGAATTTTGATTTGATTGTAGAGCCCAGGAAATGTTATACTCTAGAAGTGGTTATCAACTGGGGGTCATTATGAGTTGTCATTCATTTCAAATGGCCTCTCCACAGGCTAGTATATGTCTCACACCCTCCCAGAAATTTGTCTCTTGAGTTTTTTTCTCCTCTTTTCTTCCAAGCCAAGAGTGGGGTTGGGGGGAACAATCCTAAAGCTAAATAAACAAAAAAAATGAGACAAAATCAAAAGACAAAACAACAAAATAACAAACAACTGTACAAATAAACAAACAAATAAAAAACACCAGGATACACTTTTCAGTAGAGCATTCTCATTAAAATAACATTTTCCATGTTGTCTGCCTTCAAGAACCAGCCAAACCTGCCCCTCTCTGACACCAATAGTCTCAACTGTTTTTGGAGGCCAAGATGAGAACTGCATATTCAAACCTTGCCTCTGTTACAGGAAAAGTTCCAGTTTGATAATTTTCTGGGAACGAGTCTACACAATGAAAAGTAAAAGGAGACTAGAAGATTATTCAGAAATTAAGGTCATTGCCTGCTCTTCCTGTAGATCTCAGTTGAGATTCCAATATTGTCATGTAGGCTTATAACTATTTGTAATTTCAATTCCAGGGGATCGAATGGTCTTTGCTGGCTTTCTCATGCACCAAGCAAGCACACGGCAAACAGACACACATTTGGGAAAAATACTCGTATGTATAAAAAATATGTATATATCGTGTGTGTGTGTGTGTGTGTGTGTGTGTGTGTGTGTGTGTGTGTATGTGTGTGTGTGTGTAAATTGAATGCCGGGAATGTAGCTCAACATTAAAGCATCTGCCTAGAATTCCTTAGTACTGAGGGTCCAGGAGTGTGATTCAGTGGTAGACCACCTGCTTAGGATCTCCCAGTGAGAAGCATGATGATCATCAGCACAGCATCTAACTAGTGTATGAGAAACATTAAATTCAGTTGAGAATGGAGGCAAGAAGGGGAAAGAAGAAAGAGAATGTGATAAGCTCTGTTTCATTAAACAGGCTTCTTTTGTGTAAAGAACTCACAGCTCAATCCTAAGACTTGTAAATATTCTTTATACTTTATTTTTTACCTCATACTGTCTCATTAATTCACTCCATATTGACTTGGGTCTTTGGGACTGCACCAAATTTCCACCTTCATGGATGTGGACTCTAGACAGCCAAACCCAAAGATCCCAGTTCTTATCAGGATACCTCCCATGGCACATTACCAATAAAACCCTCTTCTTTTTTCCTAAATTAGACTTTTTGTATGCTTTAAGTTAAAAAAAGATACATAAAACACCTCCCTGGTTACCTTTATAGCTTAATGACTGAATATATAAAAAGCACAAAGATCAGACTCCTTCACTTGACTTTTTAAAAGTGTCTTCAACTCAGTTCTTAAAAGGCACGCACTTGTGTACTGACACACTTCCCAATACCTTCAAATGTTTCTGTTCTTCACATATTCTAAGTCAAGAACTCAGCATCTGATGAAAGTAAAGATGATCCCACACCTCTCGTCACAGGATTTTAGGAAGTGTCCATCATATATAACAGCCATTCAAAAAATAAGTTTTCAGTTGTTGGAACACAACTTACCACCAGCTGAGGTCTCCTTCTGATGGCTACTCCTACATTCTTCTTGTGGTACTAAGGTACTTGGCTGTCAGCATAGACTTAAGGAAACCCTGAGAGGAACAATAAAGCTGAAACCAATCTTGTCATCGAAACTTGAGGTTTTTTAAGATTCCCAGAGGCCATGCAAATGTGATCGAATTAGAATCATTTTATTTTGTTCTATTTTTTTCTGTATGGAATATTTCCTTATAGTTGTTTGTACTTATATCACATACATGCCTAGTGTCCTCAGAGGCCAGAAGAAAGCACTGGATCCCTAGAAACTGGAGTTACAGGTAGTCGTGAGTCAGAATGTGGGTGCTGGGAATTGAACCTAGATCTTCTCAAAGAACAGCCAGTGCTTTTAAATGCTAAGCCAACTCTCCAGCCCAACTGGAGTTCTTAGAAACATAAAAATGTTAATGTTCTTCCACCGTTGATCTGTGGATCATGTGATTTCAGTCCTGTCAATCTCTGGCCCAGGCATCTGTGTTCTAGCTCTTTGAATTTGGTTCTAATTTGACTTTACAAACAGTTGTGAACAACCTGACATGGGCTTTGGCAATCAAATTCAAGTCCTTTTCAACAAAGCTGTACCTGTTCTTGACCACTGAGACACTACCCTCCCAGACCACTCACTCTAAAAAAGAATAGGGAGGAATGGGGGCTAGGAGGATGGTGTACTGGCTGGTTTTGTGTGTCAACTTGACACAAGTTAGAGTTAACACAGAGAAAGGAGCCTCCCTTGAGAAAATGCCTCCATGAGATCCAGCTGTAAGCCATTTCCTCAATTAGTGATCAAGGTTGGGAGAACCCATTGTGGGTGGTGCCATCCCTGAGCTTGTAGTTCTGGGTTCTATAAGAAAAAAAAAGCTAATAAGTAACATCACTCCATGGTCTCTACATCAACTCCTGCTTCCTGACCTGCTTGAGTTCAAGTCCTGACTTCCTTTGATGATCAACAGCAGTGTGGAAGTGTAAGCTGAATAAACCCTTTCCTCCACAACTTGCTTCTTGGTCATGATGTTTTGTGCAGGAATAGAAACTCTAAGACTGATGGCTTTGGTTTTAAGAGCACTGAATGCTCTTCCAGAGGACCCAAGTTTGATTCCAGTAATCCACATGGTGACTCACACCACCTCCAACTACAATCCAAAGGGATTAAATGCCGTCTTCTGGCCTCTTCAGGTACCAAACACAAATATAATGTCCAGTCATACATGAAGGTAAGACACTTATACATTTAAGAATAATTATTTTGCTTTTAAAACACACAGATGGTTAGATGCATAGAAGTCTCGGTGGCAAATGGCACTCACTGCTCTTCCAGGAGACACAACTTCACTTCATAAACCCAGTCAAATAGCTCATAATCACCTAAAACTTTAAACAACTAAGTGGACATCTGAACTTTTTGAACCTCTTGTCTCCACCGCTAAAGTGCTAGAACTACAAGCATGCACTATCATCACCAGTTTATACAGGACATCCTGCTAGTTAGACATAGAGACTGTACATCTACTCCTGACCTTTATGGGTATAAGCACATATACACATGAAGACTGAGATGATGACAAGCGCAATCTTGCCTTTCTGCTTATTACACAGGGTTTTATTTATTTATTATTATTTTTGTATTGGTTGTTTTATTTACTTACATTTCAAATGTTATCCCCCTTCTCAATTTCCCCTCCACAAACATCCTATCCAATCAGCCAACAACTACCTTTCTGAGGGTGCTCCCCCACCCACCCACTAACCTAACACTAGCCTATCCACCCTAGCATTCCCCTATGGAGTGTCAGGCCTTCACAGGACCAAGGACCTCCCCTCCCATTGATCCCAAATAAGGCCATATTCTTCTATATATGCAGCTGGAGTCTTTATTACAGAGTTCTAACAGCACATGTATGGGTTTCTTTCTATACCAAGACATTCTCCGCTTTTCTGTAGACAATAACTGCATGCCCTAACAATTCAAGTCTTTCAAAACTCAGATATAAACAGAAAGGACATAGACACTACCATAACTAGAGAAATGTCAAAAATAATCTCATTCTCACATTCTTTAGTTTATGCCCATCTCTGACTCTATCTCTGTCTGTCTTCATGTGCCACCAGCCACTTTCTTACCCCCATGTTTTGAAAACAGGTTCCCATGAGCCCAACCTGCCTTTAAACACACTAAGTGGACATTTGAACTTCTGATCCTCTTGTCTTTACCACTTGAGTGCTAGAATTACAGGCATGCAGTATCATCACCAGTTTATACAGGACATGGTGAATGTTAGACAGTCATTCTGTTAATTGATCTATACCCTAGTCCACAGTCATCTTCTTTAATATACTGAGGGAACTGAATAAATTTAAGGTCATCATAGACATGAGAATTCCTAAACTAAAGCAGAATGGGTTATTTTGCAAGGATTGTCAATACAAATCAGCAGACACTGGGTTTCTTAAAGTACAGCAACTGATTTTGTCACAGTTCTGGATGTTGGAGGTCCAAGATCATAATGGTGGTTCCAGGGCTTCTCTTTCTCTTTTCTTTTGGCCATCTTCTTCTATCTCAGTCCTAACATACACATTTCTGTAAGCTTACACCACCTGATGTTTCCTTCCTCTCAAAAAGACAGCACTGATATTGGATTATGACCCCACCCTGATGGCCTTACTTAAATTTAATTAGTTCTGAACAATCTGAGCAATCACATTCTGATAGAATATGAATTTGGGCTTTACCTTGAGAATAAATAAGATTCCAGTTTCTGCCAGAAAACAACATTATGTTATAAGTTGATGAAAGAAGAAGATTCTAGAGGAGAACCTGAAGGAAAAAGTGAACCTATCATGTGCCTTCATTTCAAAAGCAAGGTCTGAAAGGAAGACAGTGGATGACACGAGGTGTGATGGGAACTTCCACCCAGAGAGTCTTTCAGGAGACAAGAATGTTTTATAAGACCTAGATAACATTTGCTACACTGGAATTTGTGGTATGTGCTCTGTATAAGTTATCTTGTCTATTCTACTCAAATAAAAATTATATTTGTAACTAATTTAACTTTGAATTCACAGGTAAAACAACTGAGCCTCGTAAACCATGGTCATAGCCTGCCACCATTTTAACTGATCTTAACCACTGATACCCTCTTTTCTGCCCCACACTCTCTTTTCTGTTATACAGCCTGCAAGCCAAGAATAGTTTTCTTGTTTGGTTGGTTAGTTTTGTTTTATTTTGAGTTTTGCCTGAACAACAACAGAAGAATAAAATATGATGTGTGAAGTGATGTGACATCCAACTACTATGTTTTTAAATGATGCACTGTGGGCATATTTTCTCTGTCCTCATGCTATAAAGATGAGCTGAGGACCCTGAAGCCTGCCAGGTATTAAATATTAACTTTCTGACCCTTAATAGAAAATGTTCAGCTCTGGTTAAATGGCTTATTTATCACCCAGCTAGTGACCTACCTAGGCCCGGTTCTGAGAACCTGCGTAGTTCCCAGAGGCAGTTGGTAGTACTCTACTATCTAACAGGAATGATTTGTTATCTCAAGCAGGGATTACCCCCAACACCAGAGATCGGAGTCCCACTTCCCTTGGATTTTCATAAATTGGGCAACAGGGCCACACATAGCAGAAGTCCACCCTAAGACGTTCCTGATTTTCTTCACCCTCTAAATTGCACCCTGAACATGCATGCCTCAGCATTTTCACAGTTGCTGTGTGGTAACCATGGGATGTTTGACAGCAAATAACAAAGCTTCAGTAATAAGGGTAATGGAGTGTGGACGAGTCAGTTTCTCATCAAACCATCCTCAAGAATAACAATCAGAGTTCAAACAATCTGACACTTAGTTCTGCAATTAGTCTCTATTAATTCCTTTTCTTATTTTCTCTTGGAATCTGAGTCCTTCTCAATATAAAAACTAATATACCTTACAATTATTTCTGTGAGTTCCTTTAGAGCTTGCATAACTTCACTCCAATAAGATCACAGATTCACAAAGTTGAATGTGAATTATTCATTACTTTACATTGTCCTCCATGTCCTATCTCAAGTCAATAGACATCTTTTGATATCCCTTCAGGAAAAGTCTCACACACAACATCTCCCTTTCGTGGAAAATTTCTAAAAGGTGCTTGCTATAAATGAACACAAAGATGAGTTGACAGAAGTGTGGGCTCTTGCATGTTGGATCTCAGAGACTGTAACTAAATGTTGAATGGCTGACCATTTCTGACTATCTGAACTATTCACATTTATCTTGCTCTGTCTGGGTATCTAGTTCCTACTTCTCTCCTCTCCATCTCTGCCTTTCACTGTTTATGATATGTTCTCCTTATCCTAGCCTCCTCCCCTTTCATTAATGAGGAAGGGGGACATTATTTGAAATGTAAGTGAATAAAATGATTAATAAAAAAATAATGCATTCATCTAAACACTATTAACTCCTGAAAGGTCATATTTATGTTGATCTGCAGTACATTTACATCTACAAGGTGGCCTAATGCCCAGGAATCTTTAGGTTATGTAGTAGTGACAGGAAAGTCATATCAATTGCAAGAATCAATCCTGAAATGAAATCTCTTGGTACATCGCCTTTCAGAGCTCACCCATCAGAGATCATGCAGAAAAGGTAGGCCATCTCCAATAAAGTCACTTGCTGGCCTTGGTCTCTCCTAGATGGCTCCTGAAAATCTACATCATTTGTGAATTACTGGGATTATGGAAAGGTCAGATGATGAAATGTATGCAAAGGTCAATAATTTCCAGTGTGGGCCCATCAACACATTTTATTTGCTATAAATAAGCTACTTAACAAGAAGGAATTGTGGGTAATTCAAATGTTAGTGGTTTTGCCAGCAGCTTCATTTGCCTCTAAAGAAATAGCACACCCAGTATGAAGGTCTCAGCCAATAACAAGGCTCTGGGCCGTCCATGATGGAAGTGGCTCAATGTGATCAACAGTAATTACACAATCCTGACTCTGTCTTCCAAAATTTCTCCTAA